CTCTACTTGGGACGAAGGCGAAAGTCGAGGAGGAACCAAAAATGGTCTGCCGGCTTCGTTTAGTGACCACCCTGTCACTTCGTCCATTCTCGCTTTGCTCCGAATCCTCCACGAGCTCAACGCAAATCTTGACGAATTACGAGATTTCATTGGACAACCCGGATTGAAGCTCTACCCGGAATCTCTCGCATCTTTTATCAACACCAAGTTGACTGCCAAGATGAATCGTCAGCTGGAGGAACCCTTGATTGTGGCTAGTAACTGCTTGCCAGACTGGAGCGAAGACCTGGCTCGGTCATTTCCTTTCCTATTCCCCTTCGAGACTCGGCACCTTTTCTTGCAATCGACTTCCTTCGGATACTCACGCTCTATGATCCGATGGCAAAATAGTCAATCGGAAAACGATGACCGCCGCGACCGTCGCAGAGATGACAGACCCATGTTGGGTCGGCCTCAGCGGCAGAAGGTGCGCATCTCTCGCCATCGTATCTTGGAGTCTGGCATGAAGGTGATGGACATGTATGGAGCGTCCCCCAGTGTCTTGGAAGTTGAGTATTTTGAAGAGGTTGGGACAGGTTTAGGCCCGACTCTCGAATTCTACTCGACCGTGTCGAAGGAGTTCTGCAAGAAGAAGCTGAAAATGTGGCGCGAGAACGATTCGGCGGATAACGATCCGTTCGCTTTTGGCAAGAACGGCCTTTTTCCAACCCCAATGAGTGCGGAGGAGAGCCGAAGCGAAGCTGGCAAAAAGCTGTTGTTGCTGTTCAAAACACTCGGAAAATTCGTGGCTCGTTCGATGCTTGATTCCCGCATCATCGATATCGCCTTCAGCCCAACCTTTTTCAAGATGGGTGGGGTCAGCAATGCAGCGCCCTCAATTGGCTTGTTGCGAACGATCGACCAGGACCTTGCAAATTCTCTGTCTCAACTTCAACAATTCCTCAAAGCCAAGACAAAGATCGAACTCGATTCATGCATGACGGAGATTGAGAAGGCACAAGCGATTGAGCAACTCACTATCCATGGAGCCAAAGTCGAGGATCTCATGCTCGACTTCACCCTACCTGGCTATCCTGGCATTGAGCTCATTCCAAATGGATCGAACGTTACGGTCACGATGGAAAATATCCAGCAATACATTGAACGAGTGCTCGACCTGAGTCTCGGGAGCGGTGTTCGAGCTCAGATTGAGGCTTTTCAGACCGGATTCTCTCAGGTCTTTTCGTACTCGTCTCTGAGAGCATTTACCCCCGATGAGTTGGTCATGCTGTTTGGCCGCACCGAGGAGGACTGGAGTATTGAAACACTGATGGACTCTGTCAAAGCCGATCACGGTTACAACATGGACAGCAAGAGTGTCAAGAACTTGTTGCAGACCATGTCGGAACTTACACCGGCTCAACGCCGCGACTTCTTACAGTTTGTTACCGGTAGCCCCAAGCTTCCCATTGGAGGATTCAAGAGCCTCACACCAATGTTTACTGTGGTCTGCAAACCCAGCGAACCCCCTTACACATCCGATGACTATCTACCCAGTGTCATGACCTGCGTCAATTATCTCAAGTTGCCAGACTACACGTCGCAGAAAGTGCTAAAGGAGAGATTGTTTGTGGCGATCCGAGAGGGGCAAGGAGCATTCCATTTGTCTTGAGATTGACTGCATTTTGCACTGGAATGGCGGGGACCGGCAGGAAGAGAACAAATCACAAAATTGTGGTTGTGTATGAAGGTGGAATTTCCGTGTGCATCACTCTTCAGCGGTAATAAGTTTATGCTTGAGCTTGGAAAATAAACAAGATGGGTTGCAAGTAATGGTTGAGTCAGGAGACTGGGAGCTTGCGCTATATAACCTCACGAAAGGGACAACACCTTTGACCTATGGCAACGGAACTGAGTGCAGAAAGAAACTATCAAAAGAATGGTTGTGGAAGTCTCGCGGTTCAGCCATGACCAGAATTGGTATCCAACAATGGAGGCTGGCAGGTTCGCCTGGCTGGAAGGACACGGATAATGGCTATGGCCAGGTCGTGGACAGGATGACAGCAGTCACACTGCCTCGCCAATGGGGGAAGGTCAAAACATGGAGAAATAGGAAGTATGAGATATGGGAGGCGTCCTAGTTGGAGGGGAAGCAAGCAAGCAGAAGCAGAAACCCCCAAAAATCCACACCCACATAGCTTAGTTTTCAACGACAATGAGACCCTCATGATGTTACACCAACAGAAGAGATGCTTCGGCCATGCCGGACTTGCATATCGAGCAGTCCTCTCATAACGCACCAGAGTCCAACCTGACTCGACCAGACTCAACCGATCCACTAATTGCAGAGCCTGTATTAATAATGTCCATTGCAAAGAGCAGTGAACGGGGAAGGGGAGGAAAGATGTAACGATGTACTTGCGTAGATGTGGCGATGTAGGTACTCGATACCTACCTCGGCATGCACGGTATTAATGAGGAACAGGCCACGGCACAGACATTTCCAACGACCAATGAGCTACTCCGTTCGGAGTATTTATTTTCCAGGTTCCATTTTCCAAAAGTTCCCCGCGAGCCAGCTTCCATTCTCTGGCGTTTCAACATCTGTCTTCCTAATCTACCCGACTCGCCGATCATACCCGGTACAGGAAGTCTAACCTCGGAGGCGTTTTGTTGTCACCTGATCATTTGACTCCGTAAGCGAGCGGTCCTGGAGGGCTGGCACCTGCGTAGGGCGTAGTCAGTGACTCTGGTAATTATTAACCACCTACCGAGTACCTCGTATTCCGTGTGTATGTTCCATCTCACACCTGTAGTATGGACTGGATTAGATGGATTGAGATGGCAAAAACACAATTCGAAAAATCTAAAGGGGTTTGGGGGTGATATTTTTTTCATTTTTTTGGACGGAGATTCCATTGCCCTTAAACTCAGGTCCTGGACGGGGGCATTTGTGTGATCGTGTAACCTCCATCCTTGTAACGGCGACTACCTATCCCTCTAACTCACTCCTCGTATGCATTGACGTACAGTGCATGCACGCACGGTCCGAGGCATTTACTTACCTTGCCCGTTTATCGCATTCCCGATGGTTGACTCGATTTTCTTCTTTTTCTTTTTACTTTTCTCGCGGCTAGTCGGTTTACCACAGGCCCATCTGTCCCGTGCTGGTGGAAACGGGGGCCAAAGATAAATTAAATTCTCTCTACTCTACTTGGTAAGTACTGTATGAGAGGTACTAGTCGACTCGAAAGAAGGAACTCTCTTCCGGACTACTATATGACCCAGTGTGGTCTGACTTTACTGCTGGTTGCTCCCTACTTGATTGTAGGTGGCATGGAGTCAAAGCCTCGCCACGGAGCCGAGGCCAGGGATTTTTTTGGGTTCCGTGTCTAACCCTTGCCCATTGTCGAGAACTAATACCAACTGTGTCCTCGGGGGTAGCCTGCCTAAGTAATCTGCCTGCCTGCACTTCCTTGTTACCCACGTAGGCCTTTCCGTACGGGTAAGTTTAAAGGACGGTGACGAAAAACGGGAACAAAGGACGGGAGCCAATCTGATTTACTTCCGTCTCCCGTGCACACTAGTGTCAAATTTAGTAGTCGGCCCTACAAATAGATAGGTCAATGGCAATCCTTCGGAAGTGCGGAAGATGGAGGCGAGCTACATGGGTGAAAACGTTCGTTCAGCCTTGTCTCGGAACCGGCATGCTGGATTAGGGACAGTTCCAGCACTTGTCCGGCTATGTACTGGGTATGGACTGGGTACCTCGAGGGGATTACCCTTGCTCCCTGCTTGGTAGGAATCTCCCTCGGGCACTGGACTGCCTCATCGCCTCACTCGCGCGGGGCTGGAGGGCCGTGTTCCATGTCCCATCGCAGTTCCTGCATGAACCTCGCTTTTGACTCTAATCTTGATGCTGGTCAGCCGGAAATGGCCGAAGGACTTGCAAATTTCAGAGTTTTGTCGCCATCTCCAGGCTAGACAGCAGTCGCCTCCCAGGAATGACTCGATTGAGGTGCTTCGTTGCCGGGGCAAGGGTCCACGTCGGCGATCTGGGGGGAAAGCTGAGTGGCTGCTAGCGGGGAGGCTTGCTTCGCCAATGCACGTTGCAAAAGGTTGACGACGATCCTCTTGCGGTGAGTGTTCCCCCATGTCTCCTTCAGCAGCAACTAGGGCCGGGCCTGACCGGACCTGGACGTGTGGGGCTCGGCAGTTATGATCAACCCGAGATAGTCAACTAGGGAGGGAGTGCTGGAAGATAAGATAAGGCAATGAAGAGGCAGAGAAAGAGTACTCCAGATGCAAGTATATGTACAGGGTATATGTTCCTGGCACGGGTTCCACTCCGTCTGCAAACGAAACAGATAAGGCAAACAATGTTCAGACGGACATGCGAGCGAGAGCCCTCCACGCTAATTGCGCTTCATTGACATCCTCACAGGAGAGATTTGAGTCGCTTCGTCGTGACCTCGAGAATTGAGGGGGAAAACCAAACCAACTCTCCCTCCTGAGTCGACCGCGTTCTTGTTGATTGGCCATTATTGCTCAATTGCAAAAGTTCCATCACGAAGCGGGGCCCAGTTGTCGCATAGGGCGAACAATCACGCGTACCGGTGCGACGCGGGCGGATGTGTCTGTTTGGGGGCCTGAACCAAATAGATAGGCACCTCCTGCTGGTGCTCTTTCGCTTCGGTTGCTGACCCGCTGCGCTTACTGTCGCTAGTCCTCCTTCCATGCGAATTGCTTCTTGATCCTGACCCCGGCCTAGGCTTAGAGTTTAAGCTAAACCTAGAACCGCTTCCTCGGTATCGTTCTGAATGCACATGTTGGGGCCAAACAGTGCTGTGGTCTCCCGAACCATGGCTCTGAGTGGGCCCATGTCGACTGGCATAGCCTTGCCTACTCCACCGAGAGGAGCTCCGCTCGCTCCGGGCATACTGCGCGATCTTCTGCCGTTGCAGCTGCTTGACTAGCATGCAGCGCCTCAGGTTACGCAGACTCACCAGGAACAAGACAAAATGCAAGCTCCACACAAGCGCACCGAAGGCGATCCCGGCAAGTTGCAGGCTCCCGATGTGGTAGAGCGTCGGCTCGCACTCGCGAGCGAAAATGTTCAGCATGTTGCAAACCAGGATTCCGGACTGTGTGCGCACTGCTGGCTGCCAGAGACGAAACAAAGAGCCGTAGCCTGCGAGGAGGAGAGCCGGAAGAAGGCTGAGCAGTACAAGAACGGGGGCGGCTGCGTGGATGATCAGGCATTGGCGGGAAAGTGAGGACCCGTGGCTTTGGTCCCCAGCCGATCGTGAGTTCTTTTGCACTCGGCCATGAATCAAGACGATCGCGTGATAGAGGAAGGCGAATGCAAGAGGCCCTAAAGGCATGCCATCGGTCCAGTCGCCCCGGTTGGGCCCTGTGGTATGGAAGAAATTGGCGTTCCATCTAGGAATAGCGGCAGAAAAAAGTGAAATGGCGATCAAGCTGGCCAGCAGGCTCACGAGATGCAGTGTTGTAATGAAGCAGCGGCGTAAGCGGTAGCGACGGCTAGTGGGTGGCGGTGAGAGGTCGGCGGGGTAAGTTGAGGTTAGAATGAGGGTTTTGGAGCCGAGCATCCTTTTTGTGTTGGTTCAAGGTGCTGACAAGTGTCGTACTTCGTAATAAACCAATCTCTCGATGCGGGCGTTTAACGGGCGTCAGGTCATAAGGTCGTGATAGGGGACAAGGAAAGAAGGAAATCTCGCCAGCGAGAATGTTCGAAGCCAAAAAAGGAAGATGAAAACACAAAGTGCACTGTGCAGGTGATCGGGAAAATAGAACGGGAACAGCAAGAGGGAAGAAAAGAGAAAGAGAAAGGACAAACCGGTAAAAAGAGCAGCAGGGAGATGTTGCGGAATTTTTCATGTTGATGTCGCGTCCTGTATCAGAAGCGTGTCCGAGTTGCAAATGGTAGCGAGTCGATCCTGCGACGCTTCACGAAGGAGGTTGTGTCGGATGGCTGACTTCTTCGAATCAGAAGGGCCGGAAGTTTGGCCTGGACGGCGATGAAACGATGCACCGAGCAGGGGACGACCTAGCGTTTCGCCGTCAGCCTGACCCGCAGACCGCTCGTCCAGCGATTGGTGATAAAGGCCCGGACGTCCCAAGATGGGCTCGACGGCTTGACGGCAAAGGAGACGGGGAAGTCCCATTGAGTCTCCGTCAAGCCAACCCACAAGCGGTCTACGCCATCAGCCGGGCCCCTGAAGGGTCTAGCTGCCTTAAGTCTTAAGTGCTCAAGGCTTGGACCATCCCTGGTCATCCCGCGCCGCATCCGGGTAACCCATTCTGTTGTAGGCTGGCTAGCAACGGCTAGGGAGCCGATTATGGAATTCCTCTGACAGTTGCCCACGAATACTCCCTTGCTGCTTGGCAGTTCGGCGGTGGGGCAGAGCCCAATTGGAGGGGCAGGTTTTGGTAAGAGAGCTCGCAAAATGCGTAGTGGGAGGATAGTGCATTTGGGCAGGAGTGCCTGTGCAGAAACTTGGTCACCGTCACAATTGACGGCAATGTCCTTTTCTCCGGAATTCCAATTTGGAGTCAGGCTGAAAAGATATCGAGGCTCCTGGGTCCTCTATTGCAGGCCGAATTCTTTCTGTGCTGTCCACTTGCTGACCTCTTCCTTTCTGTCGTATCGCCCGTTGGACAGGCAAATTCCGATTCGATTTCGATATGAGCACAACGCCCATCAGGCTGCGAGACTCTCCCGCTCAAGTGCAGGAAAAGCTTGGCCTCAGCAACCGACAATTCGACAACTTTAAGAACTTTGCCCGAAGAGTCCACGGCGAATATTGTGCCGCTCATCCCAATTCCAAATGGGCCGATGTCAATGCCGTCTGGACCGCCGTTCCCGAACCAGAGAAACTCGATGTCATCCGACTGATGTACAATCTGTGTACCGATTCCAACCTTTTTCCTCCTACCACCGCACGAAACGTGATCGAGGCAGGCATTGAACAGAGGCTGCATCAGGTGCGGCGTACCTGGCAGCAGACCTCAAGAACAAGGACGAGACCGTCAGCACAAGGGGATGATGGTGGATCCTGAAGACGACCACACTAGTGCACTGGCCTGACGGTTTATGCCCGATACATCTGAGCAGTCGCAGCATGCAGTTACGCACGTCTTGTCCCCGATAACCCGCCAGCATCAGCTGAGATCCTATTCGTTCTGCGTCAACGAGGGAGAACCCACGTGCTCTGTGCTGCTAAAGCACGCAAGAAGATGAGTCCCACAGAAAGGTCAGTGGAGGAGCCCGCCGAGCGGTTGGTGGAGAATGGAGCATTTTCAGAGGAGGAGGGTTTTCTTAAATACTCCGGCTTTCAGCCCTACCATAATCAGAAAGACTGTGCATTGTTCAATCTGTCCACGCACATCGTGTGTGCGGATGACGATGAGGCTTTTGGATTCGGGCAATCAGGGTGCACAACTCGGGTGCACTAGGCTGTGCCGCGACTTGGGCTGGATGCAGGAAGACTGAAAAGGGCATATGGTTTGATGGCAGGAAAGGATGGTTTGGCCAGCGAATCTGGCCCGCTCAGCCCAACTCCGAGATGGACAAGGGTGTGCCAGGTCGGAAGAGGATGGTGGACTCAGGGGGTTTTGCTCTACTCATAAGACTGGGGTGTGGATTGGTCTAATGTTGGCCATGGTGTCGCGGCAGATCCATGTCGACTTGTGCTGCAGCCTCCTCAAAGTGTCGGATTTTGGCCGGGGTCGGGCTGAAAGAAAGATGCTCTATCGTACCTTGATAATAGTCTTCGCAAAGTCAAAAGCCTGGGAAGCCTTCCAAGCACCTCGGAGCTTTCTGCTAAGCTTGTTACGGATCGGAATGATCCAGTTTGAGTTTTGCCGGCGCTGACACGGTGGCCCTGATCTTGTGAATACAGTCAGTCGGCTGTGGGATCATTGTGACAACGAATCGCTCGCTCATTGTCCAGCGAAGTCTATACCTTTGTCTAGAACCTTGACCTGGGGTCGACTCATCGGGCTGCATCTGCTTGGCTTGGTGTCCGCTGTACCGTATCACCAATGACGTTGAGCGGGACCTTGTGAGTTGACCTTGATGGCCTGTTCAAGATTGCAAATTTTCGGTGGCCGGGCATGTACTGGGTAGTATGCTTCTTCTCACGACAGGTGAACAACAGCCTGATTCTAGGTGGATTCGGGTAGGGAAAGCTGTCAAGATGAAGTTGAGAAGTCCCCTTCGGGCACGGATTGCAGGCACAATTCTCGCAGCCCGCGTCGACAGTTATAAGAGGAATTCGTCTGTTCTTCGCGCTACCCGCTCCTCGCTTCAGCAAAACCTGATCTGTGTAAGTGCAGGATATCGTGATGGAGTGGCCCGTGTTGCCCGTGTTAGGCGAGACAAGGGAAAGTAGATGGTTGGTTCGGGTGTCCGCCAGTGAGTGATGGCAGGATCTGGCCTTCAAGGATTACCATGGGCCCTCCAACGAGAGTGATTGATGATTCCGGGGGTGGCTGTTCCTGTTCAGGGCTGCTGTTGTTAGCCAAGTGGACTGTTCATGCCTCTGCCGGATGCACCGACTTGGCCACGATGATTTACCACCTGCTCTGCTCATTTCACTTGTCCTGATTCGGTCCGGAAACGGTGTGTTTGAGGCAAACGCGGAAAGAGGGAGGAAAAGCAATTGTGCTTGCCTTGTGGATGACAGTCTGCAATGTCACAGGATCCTCAAAGCTCCTCGTTGCCGCATCACCCCCGGGTCGACGCCAGGGGCAATGCTCACGGTAATGAGAGATGAGCCTAGGAATTACTCTTACCGCGGATTTCGGTAGGGTTTTGGGTTGGGGCAGGCTGGGGATGTAGGCACGATGGGTTTGGTGTGGGGGACAAGGGGATTATTTGGCTGTACCAGCTGCACCATGCAGTGGGCACTAGTCCCAGCAGTTGCGCCGCATGACGCAAGCCCAGTGAGGTCACTGTCCGCAGCCGCAGGCTATACGAGTACCAGCTTCAGCGACCACTCCTTCACTGAGCGGGTCAAGTGCCCAATCTCCCTGTTCCTATCTTTTCGTTTTCTTCCATACCTGCTGCAATCATGGCCTCAACTGTGCCAATCCGGTCGTTGAGTCATATTCTACACTCCCTCTAAAACAGCCGCTAGGTTGGCTGTTAGCATTTTCACGTCGAGCAACTTCCAAGGTTACGGCCGAATCCACCCTCTGCGTTCGTTGCAACACCCACCCACCAGACCTCCCTATCTTCATCATGTATCGAAGGCCCTGACAAGTGGCCGTAGAAACTGTTGCAATACCTGGGATGGCTCAAGTTCTCACGCCTCGGGCATCTTCCACTGTGAAGCGCGAGACCAGCCCTACCTATGACCCTCTTTCGATGTCCTTTCCCTACCTTGAGCAGGCGGAATCAATTGAAGATGCCGTTCGTGGATGCTCAGATACTACTTCACACAACGAAGCGCATCCGCGATATTCAGAGAGCATCAAAGAGGTCGGACAACACGATCAACAGAACGGCGACCTTGAAAGGCCGCGCCTTGCTTCACGCAAGTTCGAGACCGAAATTGCTCGCCCTCTTTCCCCGACAACATCCGTTCCTCTCAGACAGCATCGCTCAACGGTGAACTACCCTATCCTACAAAGCGCGGGGCGTCGAGTTTCGTCGAGCGATTCGGATATCTCGACTTCGTCGGATGAGGACAACACAGCTGGACTGCAAAGAGCACAGACACAACCAGCTCACAATGCGCTGTCCAAATCCCAACTTAATCGAGTGCGCACTCACCCAAGGCCATCGCATCTCAAGGTGGGAAATGAGTACTTCCAATCTCAAGGAAGAATAGCCAAGGATGGGAGATTGAACATCTCGGTCAATGAGACATCTCAAACAGGCTATCTCGCCAAAGCGCTAGGCGCAACCATTCGACACCAGCTCGGTCCCGACTACCAAGAAGAGGCAAAGCTGGCAGACAAGGCTAAGGCCGATTTTCTCAGGGACAAACACAAGCTTGTCGTGCCCTCAATGAACATAGTAATTATGGTGATTGGCAGCCGTGGCGACATTCAACCTTTTCTAAAAATCGGGAAGATCTTAAGAGACAAGTATCACCACAGAGTCAGAATTGCTTCCCATCCTACCTTCAAGCAGTTCGTCGAGAAGGAGGTTGGTCTTGACTTCTTTTCCATTGGTGGAGATCCTTCCGAATTGATGGCTTTCATGGTCAAAAATCCTGGGTTGATTCCGACGCTCGAAACTGTC